CATTTGAGGAAGCTTTGCAGGGGTGACACCCACTTGGATTCGGGGCAAGCTGAATATCCTTGCAGAGGCTCTGGGGTGGAGATTTGTCTGGATATAAAAGACCTGTAGAGGAGTTCCAAAAGGTGGGAGAGAGAAACAGACTCCACTTGAGGAGGAGGAAGGGGGAGAGTCAGTGTGTCTTTTAAGTGGAAGAAAGCTAAGAATATAATGAATTTGATTTGTTCTGGACTAGAAGACCCTCTGACTTGGTGTAAGATGGGTTGTAAAACAAATGTGTCATAGGAATGTGGTATGAATTTGGACTTCTCGTGGTCATGGACGTGAATGAGGATGATGAATGTAATGAGATGATTTCTGTTGGCTGCAGGACGGACAATGATGACAAGATTGTGATTGCCAACTATCAGGAGCTTTTTTCTCAGTGACTTTACTTAGCTTTCCCACAGAGTAGGGCTAAGTGAAGCAGTTCATGTCGAGGGATCATTTTAATCCTCTGCAATAATGAGTTGTCATTGTGTTGATTATTTGGTAACTAAGCAACAGTGGGTGAGACCTGATTTTGAAATTTTTACATCTTTGATAAAACAAGGATGAACAAATTTGGGCCAATGTTGGCATGGCTGTTACTGACATGAGATGAGTCCCCACGTAAAAGACGATGGGGGCTTTTGAAGTTGGACCAAATGCATCTTACATCATGATATGACCATGAGCCTGTGGATTCCAGGGAGTGAAGCGTGGCGGTTTGAATGAGAAGTGCCTCCATAGACTCAGGTATTTGAACACTTGGTCTTCAGCTGGTAGCTCTCTTTGTGGAGGTTTAGGAGGTACAGCTTTGCTGGAGGAAGTATGTCACTGGGGGTGGATTCCAGGGAGTGAAGCGTGGCGGTTTGAATGAGAAGTGCCTCCATAGACTCAGGTATTTGAACACTTGGTCTTCAGCTGGTAGCTCTATTTGTGGAGGTTTAGGAGGTGCAGCTTTGCTGGAGGAAGTATGTCACTGGGGGTGGGGGGGTCACTTCCATTTCACTCTCTCTGTTTCCTGTGTGTTTGCAGATGTGACCTCTTAGCTTCCTGTTCCTGTGGTCTGCTGCCACTGCCATGTCTCCCTCAGCTTTATGGACTTCCCCTCTGGAACCGTACATCCAAATCAACTCTTTTTGCTTTAAGTTACTTTTGGTAATGGTGTTTTATCACAGCAACAGAAAGTAAATAACACACCTCTTTAACTCTTTGTAATAATTCTGTAACCTATACACATACCATGCATGCACACACATGCTGACTGTGTGATGTATAATATGTGATCACAGAATTAATGAATAATTAAGATTGGAATAAAAGCACTTACATTTGCGTTGACCAGATTTATCAAGGAAAGTGGGAGTATCTGACAAACTGCTGTCTGTGAAACGGCCATACTTGTGAATTTATTGGTATTCATAAATAATAAATTTGACATTGTAGAAAGTATAACATGTTCATTTATGTTTCTGACACAGCATATTTGACACCCTCCCTTTGGCTGTCAGATTATTAACACATTGTACCCCAGGAAATTGGAATTTACTCAGGAATCTCACGCTGAGAGAAGGAAGGCTGAGGGCCTGGGGGCAGCCAGAGGAGGAACTTGTCTCTGGAGAAAGATTTCCACTTGCCTTATGACCTAGCAGGAGAGACTGGAGCTGAGCAATGATGACGATGGGGGCGGGGTTGGGGGCAGGGAGAAACACCTTGACTGATCTGCTTACTTATGCAAACCTCTTGTTTTCTATTTAAATCTTACCTTCCTTTTAGGGCCTTGGCAGACTTGGGGGTGGGGCACAAGGTCTTTTTTTTTTCTCAGTATGGCAGCATTGACTAAATCTCCTTTTTCTGCTTTTCACTGTTATTTGTTTGCTTAATTGGCTTATTGAAGATGGGTGGTTAAGCCTGACATGTTAGGGCTGTCAGGGTCAAGCCACTATGCTAACAACTCTGGTAACAGGAAGAGAAGGCACTGGGGATCATGCATATCTAGAAGCAAGATCTAAGTTTTGTAAGAGAACCAATGGGGGAGGTGGAGTGGAAGAAGTTAATCTAACTCCAGATTCCTGCAGTCTTCTGGTCTCCCCTAAAGCCGTAGAAGAAATACTCATGAAAATCCAACCCTGAAACACAGGCCACTAAAACACCAAGGTTAAATGGAAAGATGGTAGAAGGCTTTCCCTTTTATACACCTCGCCACACATTATTAGGGCTTTGGTAATAACAAGAGGTGCGGCAGTAGAAAGACGAAAGACAGCGTCTCTCTGAGGAGGAGAATTTAAGGAAGCTCAACGTAAAGGAACAAGGGTTAGAGCAATTTGAGGCCTCTGCCATGCCAAAAAAGAAGCGAAGACCATCTGAAGAGAAAGAGTAAACACCAGATAAAACCGCCTCAGATAAAACACAGGCATTGGAATCAGCAGGCAAAAGCTTAAAATAAGCTGGACATGGTGGCACATGCATATAATCCCAGTACTCTGGAGGCAGGGGGAGGCAGACCTCTGTCTACATAGTGAATTCCAGGCCAGCTGGGGCTACAGGGAGACCCTGTCTCAAAAAACAAAACAAAACAAAACTTAAAATAACTGCAATTAAAATGTTTAGGGCTTTTGTGGAACAGACAGATGAAAGTACAGTTGGACTCCAGAAGACAGAAATTCTAGGAGTCACAACCAGAAATCAAAAACACCATGACAGAGATGAAGGATGCCTCTGATGCCTGTCAACAGGCTCAGATGGTGAAGGAAGGAATTAACAAGCTTGGAAATGGGTAAGCAGGAAGAATCCTAAATGAAAAGGCAGAGAAGAAAGGAAAACAGAGCCTAACAACAAAACCAAAGTTAGAACAAAGCAGGTAGTAACTGGAAGACAGTTTCCAAGCACACAAAGCAGAATAAACAGCCTTAGCAGTCACATTGAACTTCAGAGGAAAAAACTTTGAAAGGGAGAGAGAAAGAAAGGGAGAGAGGAAGGAAGAAAATCACAAAGAAACCCAAAGGGAAAAAAATCCCACCCGAACTACAAGAGAACACAGAGGAGAAGCATCATAGCCTGCTGATAACATGTCCTATGCATCAATCAGTTTCCCATTGTGATTCTAACAAACATCTGGAAGTACGTGGCTTAAAACAACTCAAATTCATTGTTTTATAGTTCTGGAGGCCCAAAGTCTAAAATCAGTCTCAAGGACTACAATCAATATGGTGGACAGCTCCCTGTTCCCTGTAATGCCCTAGGAAGAAAGCTGACTTTTGCCCTTTTGGCTTCCAAGGCTGCCAGCCTTCCTCAGCTCACCACCCTCTTCCTCTGTCTTCAAACCCATTTTGGGCTGAGTCCTCATATAGGTCTCTCTGGTTCTCCCAAGTCTCACTACTTTCTCACTTATGAGAACGGAAGAATGTGCATTTATGTGGGTCACAAAGATGACCTAGGATAATTTCCTCATCTGGAGGTCAGGTGATTATCAACTTTAAACCCACCTGTAGCATCAATTCTTTTTGTCATTTAACTGAAACTATTCATAGAAGAAAACCAAAGACAGATTA